GTTGCAAAAGGAAGTATGGATTTAAGAAAAACGTTGAAATATTAAGTAGGATTTTTGTTGTGGTTGTGGTGATCCTTTGAAGATAAATGCCTTGTGCAAATCAGAGCCAAAATAATCAGGATGACTCAAAACCTAAATGTGAGCACATGTAGCAGAGCTCTTCCTTTTCAGGCCAATGCCAAACGACATAGTAAACAACTTGTCAGAGTGCTTAAAAAATTAAAAAGTAATAAATGAATACAAGTTGTCAAAGAGTGCCTAGGTATTTGTTGCCAATTCCAGACCAGCCTCGAAACAGAAGAGCTAATATAAATGATTTATTCATTCAGATATAAGATAGCACTTTTTAATTCCCTCGCTTCACACTCCATCTTGTTATGTATTTACTAAAGATGAACATTCAGATGAAAAAATATTAAAAATTCTAATGCTGGGAGCCTCAAAGTCATTGTCAAATGGAAGTGGAAATGGGGTGGGAGAAGTGGCCCGGGAGTGGCTCAGTGTCTCCCTGATCCAAATAGATTCAAAACAGCCTGAGGAGGGGGACATTATCCCATCATCCCGGTGGACAGAAACACTCAGCTGTTCAGAGCCCCTGCTGGGGGCGGCAGAGGGAGCAGAATGTTTGACTTCCAGGGTTCAGGATGGTGTGCACACAGGCAGCAGCGGGTTCTAGATTACAACTCCAGTAGGTGAGAGAGGAGAGAGGCCTTGTCACCTGCATCAGACTCCGAGGGAGGGAGACAGCCTCTTCCTCTTCTGGGGGAGCTGGGAAATCTCCTTGCGGACATGTGTGCTACAGTGGATCCCACCAAATGGGTAGGATTTTAGTAGGTGGGAAGGGGAAATGGTGGAAAGGGAAGAGGGGAGAGGCAGAATGATCACAGACAGCATTCTGGATATATATATAGCATAGGAATATATAAGTCAACAGGAAATATGTTGTTATGGAAGTCACTGTTGGAAGCCACTTTTTGGGGGAAAAAAAGCTATATAAGTATACTGAACACACAAATCATATATTAGCTTTCTAGTGCTATAACAAAACCCTAAGATGAAAGGACATTAAAAAAAAGCAAGTAAAGAAAAGGTTTATTTTGCCTCACAGCTTTGGTGGCCTCAGTGCTCACCCACTGGCCGTGGGGCCTTCGGCCTGTGAAATCCATGGTGGGCCACACAGTTTCCCCCACAAGCCCCACCTTGTAAGGTCCCACCATCTTTGAAGAGCACTAAGTTGGGTACCAGGCTTCCAACATGTGGGCTTTGGGGCACATGTGGGATCCATGCTAAGCAAGTGGTAAGAAGCAGGAATAAAGCCAGAGCTTTATTCTGCTTGCTAAATGTCTACTATTCAAGTCTTAAGAATAAAATGCTCGGGTACCTATTGTTTCTATTCATTTCAGAGCTTCTAATTGCCACTATCTTATGGAGTCTCAGAAAGGGAGGTGGGGAGAGGAATGAAAAACGCAGGCGATGTTTCAGAGATGTGAAGTTGGAATCCTACTCAAACCACTTTCATTCATTGTTCCAAAGGTGACAGTGGTCTGTAGTGTTCAAAGGGCGCTCGGGAGGACAAGCAGTTTTCAGGTAGCACAAAGGAAGGGAAGTTAATGTCTCCCTAAGGAGAAGAGGAAGAGGGCTGCGCTTGTGGAGAGGATGATAATACAATAATAACAATAAAAAGGAGGTAGGGATGGGTTGGGGAAGGACTTCTGATAGCCAGGATGAGGTGGGAGGAAGGGGAGGTAATCCTTGAAGGTGCTGGTGGAGGCTTTGTGAGTGATGCAAATATAAGAACCCCCTGAGCTGTGAGGCAGGATCCAGAAACACATCCAGGGAGCTTCCAGGGACAACGGGAGCACACATTGCATCATCAGGATTACTGAGATCTGAATCCTGGTGGGTGGGGGGGAGTCACGTCTTTTTCTATATTAGATGTTTTGAAGCTAAGATGAAGTGGGGGTTGGGGAAGTGAAGGAGGAGGAGAAAATCACTGAGAAAAATTAAGCAGTCTGAAAGGAGGGTAAGATTATGAAGATAAATGTTTACCTCTCTGCTGCATTGTATCTCTTGAAATGAAACTGTTTTTGAATAGTGTTGCATCGGTACTGCACGAATGTGGGCATTGTGAACAAATTGACTGTCTCAGATGATTTGACACATTTTGATTTCTGCTTAGGAAAATATCTGTTAATCCTATTAGGAAGAGAAGGAGAGGGTCCTGAGTAGGAATGCGAAAGATCAAATCCTTCCCCATCTTGCACACACTCTCCCAGTGCCAAGGTATTAAAATCTCAGCTGTTTCCAAAAGACCTCCTGCCTCATCCTGGCCTGCTTGGCATTACATCAAAATCCCTTCTTCTCTACCTCCCCGTCCCTGCCTGGCACTGGCTAAAAGCAAGACAAGACCGGATGGCTGCCCTGTCTGTGAAAAGCCAAAGGAGAAAGAAATCTTATTGTATGCTTTTCTCTTAGCGTAATTTTTCTTCTTTTCATCCATTCCAAAAAGACTAAAGTCTTTTTCCTCCTTTTCCCACCTCCTTTCCTTTCTTCTTTATGTGGTTTGCTGTTTGCTAATATCCAACTCCAGACCATTCTTTGTGTTTGGCAAAAGAAGCAGTTTTATTGTTTGGTAACTCCAGGGGGGATATGGTGTCTATGATGTTGTCTAGGCCAAATCTCCCCCGGGAAGGTTAACTACCTCTGCCTTACTCTCAAAGGGGAAAGGATGTCAGCTGTACACTTGCCTACCAGCCATCCTCTTTATCAAGAAAGCAGATCTGGTCCTGCTTGGAAGCACTTTCCTTCCCTACAATGGCCTACCTCAATCCCGTGATGCAACTTTTTGGGACCAGGGCCAGTGATTCGAAATTTGCATTTAAAGAGTACAAATTAAGAGAATACATTCCTCCACCCCCACCCCAAAGACTTTCTGAACAAAATGCTCTTGGAGAAACACCTAAGTCTGATCAAAGGGTCTGTTCATTTGTCTCAAGAGCCAGTGCTAGAGCCCAGCGTGGAGCTAAAAATATGCACTCACAGTGCTAGAAAATTGTATTCATTAAACTCTACCTACAGGTCCTCACCCAGAATCTGCTCCATGCCAAAGCAGCGTGCAGCTGCTAATCCTCCTTTATAGATTAGGCAGGAAAATAAAGAGGGTGGGGCTGAAATGCAGGGGAAGTCTGCACATTTGTTTGGAAAAAAAGAAAAGGAAAAGCTCAGGGATTTCTTGTTCTCTCCGTCATGTTCCGAGTTGCCAGGGTTGTCCAGGCTCCACTGAGAGACACAGGGCTTTTTAGCGTTCACAGTATTTCACTTCCTCGGGGTAAATGCCACACGTAAAATGGGAATTTAGGGGCAAGATCAAATAAATGTCTTCCAACTGTGGTGCCTTGTCGTTTCTGGAGTCTTCCTTTTTTCTGCAATCAGGAGGGAATACTAGTGACTACAGGTGACATTATTGAGCACTTACTATGTGCCAGGCAGGTGGTGAGTTGTTTATAGAATCTAGCTTCATTCTGCTAACATCCCTGGAGGCCGGGCCTCCTGTTCTCACCGTTTTGCCAGCGATGATCTGACAGTCTAGGAAGGTGAGATAGCTTCAGTGCACAAGAGGCAAGGCTGGGATTTGAACTCAAAGCTCCCAGAGCTTTGCTCTGCATGTCTGTGCCACAATGCCACCTCTAGAGAGTTTTCTTAAAACCAGTATATATTCTGGTTTTCACTTATATTCTGAAAACCAGTATATATTCTGGTTTTCACTTAAGACTTTGGTGACTGTTTTTGTTATTATCTTCATCTTTACCATTTTCTGCAATCAAATCATAAGGTTCCCTGAAGGCAGCAACTGTGTCTCCCCTATTTGTGTTCCCTGCCACTCCTAAAACAAAGCCACTTGCACAAAATAGAAGCTAAATAATTATTTGTTGAAAGGCACTTGCATTTGCCTCTGTGTCTAAATAGACCCCACCTAAATGAGTCCACTTTCCCAACTTGGAGCTTTTCCTCTTCCTTGGAGCCATCCCCTTCTTGTTTTGTTTTGGAAAGGTCAGTTCTGAGCTGGAGGGACACTGCAGTTGTCTTGTCACTTAGTGTGATCTGAAAGTGAGCGCCTGTGGTAGTGCTTTCCCTGCCCTCAGCCATCAGGCCTGGCACTCGGGAGGCTCTGATTGTAGGAGTTGCCTTATTTGCATTGATGAGGATGAGCCAGCTGCTAGAGCACACAGAACTGCACCTGACACAATCACCGAGTTCAGGGTTAGCGCGGGGCACCAGGAATCCACTGAGCGGCGTGGCGATTTCAGCCTCCATTAGAGTCACTCATGCAAAATGACCCAAATTTGCAATGAGCACAATTAGCAGTCCAAAGATGCATGTTAATTTGGGGCCTGATATTTTCCTACATTCTCTTAAATTAAAAATTATAAATACACTCTTTCCTAGACAAGTCTGGGCAGGACAACAATTCAGGGAATTAGGGGCTTGTAGAAAATGTGCAGACCCCAGAAAATGGGGATTTCTTTGCGTTACCAGTCTCTCCTCCCACCCCCGAGATTTTAAGTTTGGCATCAAATAGGGTAAGGGCTTTGTGGTATGATGTCCCTTTTGAATCAGTAGACAATAAGCATGTACAAGGATTAAAAGTAATAAAATAATAAAAATAATAATTGCAAGTGTAATATGTTGGGAAAACTTTTAAGCTTTAAAAAAGGATTTGATATTTTATGCCATGTATCATTTCTGAGGCTATGTTTGGATCCCATAACCACAGATAAACTCAGTTATTTCATTATGTCCTAAAAGTACAAGAGATTGTGTTGAATTTTTATGAAACAGAGTTTGTAAATCAAATGGAACATTCTCAAACCCTGCCTGGGTTGTGTTTCCCTATGTTTGCAGTCTATAGGTGTTGAAATGCCCACCTATACTTTAGGAGGAAAAAAAAAATCCACAACATTTTGCAAAAATTGAATAAATGATCATTCGAAGCAAAAGGATGCAGTTCAAAAGCTAAACCTCCCATTGGAGAACAGAAAATTTAATGAGCTTTTAATGGAATGCAATGCTCAGAGTAGTAAATTATTTGTTAGTTGACGATGCAATCAGCATGCTGATTAAGGTTGCTTGGTTTTTTACTAAACATTAACTGAATGAAAACGGGTAGTCCTTGTTCTGCTTGGGGGGCTTTAAGGAAGCAAATGGACTTTCAGAACAGAGATTGTCAATAAAGGTGAGTGCACTCCAGGTGTCATTTGAATATGATGATAAAATACTAGTGATAAATATTTAAAAGCATTTTAAATCCACAATGTTCGCCTAGTGTATTGTGGACGCTGTTTAAAGAAGCAGTGGGCCTTAGAAGGCCTCACAACAATCCCTCTATCTCTCTAGAAAGAAATATCTAGATCTGCTTTCTTTTATTGCAAAAGAAAAAAAGGGGGTGGGTACGCTTTGAAAATATAAACCAGCATGGACTCAGGGACCAGAAACTGCTTGGGAGTTTGGAATATAAGCCGGAGGGAAAAAAAAAAAAAAAAAAAAGAAAAAGAAAAAGGAAGAAAAAAGACAAAAATCATAACAAAGAAAAAATATTCCTGCAGCAAATAAGACATCCGTTTCTCTGGATGGATTAAGATAAAATTTAATCCAGCAGTTTCGCTATTTCAGTGTTTCAAAATAATTGCTATTAGACTATGTGCATCATTTTAAATTTTGAACTGATGGCATTGTAAGGGCAAAAGTGTTGTGATGTCGGAGTTGTATTCTGTCTAATTTAGGAGGTCTGAGGAGAGGAAAGTGAAAACAAAAAAACCTGGAAATAAATTATGTAAATGCTTATTTTGTGGTAGATGTTTAAGATAGAATTGTAAAAATACAATTTTCTGTATTTTAGTCGATGTGTACAATAGCCCTAATTTAGTGCTTCTGAGATTTTTGTTATTAAATCTGTTTAAATTACTGGATTTATTTTTCCCTCCAAGAGGGTTTTTTTGTTATTGTTGTTGTTAGTTTGTTTTTCTCCCTACCATTGAGGGTTTGTAGGTTAATTTTCTTTGAACAGCTACAAAGTCCTTTTTCTATAAATCCCAATTAGTTTCATCAGTGGAGATTCTCTGGCAATGATCAGGTACCCTTAAAATCCGATAAATAACTACCTCTCACTTTTAACTATTCCTGTTTATGACCCAAGAGGTTAAAAGCCTTTGACTGGCGTTTGACTTCTGACCTCATATAAATGTTATCTTATCAGTTCCCGCTTGTTAACTTGTATTGAGCGCTTGTCCCTGATGGCTTTTAGATAAAGGGTTGTGGTTTTTTCTTTCCTTTTTTTATTTTAATATATTTCCTATAGGAACTAAACCATTTGCTTTGTTCTATGCCCAGTGCATTCAAGTCTACACAGCAAGCTGCTATAAATCTGTTTGAAAGAACAAAATATGCTTTTAGCTACTATCCACATTATTTTAAATTTAGCTTTATGGGTGGAATTTTATAATTAAAAATATACATTTACTAAAATTAATAATATTCGTTAATAGTGATCTTAATCCTTTAACATGTTTGTCAAGAAGCTGCTGAGCTGTGTTTTCTCTCTTCATAAAAAAAACACAAGAAAATTTTTAAAAAAGCAATTTGAGCTTTGCATTTGGTATCAGCATGAGATGAGTGAGAGAGATAATTTATGGAAATCTTGTCTCCCTAGACTTCAGGAGTCTGCCTAATGAGAGAGTCATCAGTAAGATATATCTTTTTTAAAAAATCGAATCCAGACCCTGAACAGTGCATTGGCTAACCTTTGGGGAGGAAGGTGGCGGCCTGGAGCCTGCCTTTGCCCTTCTGTCCTGAGAAGGAAGGGGAATGCTGGCCTTTTATTGCCTTTGCAGCCGTGGGTCCGGTGCACACATTGACGTGTGTATGTGTGCGCGTCTACACACTGTGTACAAACCTAAATACATTTGAATGTTTGCATTTTAATCTGCCTCCATCCCTCCACAGCATCAGGAGGGCATCCTGGGCAGACGCTGGTGCCTCGGAGGCGGCCTCATTTGCCAATGACCTGCAATGTGATTTCTAAACAAAATATTGTATTAATTGTTGTGAGGAAAACAGGCAGCCAGGAGGAGGAAGGAGGAAGGGGCAGCCATCTTGGAGTCATCCTGCCTCTTAGCCCATTCTTCCTCCTCCTAAGGCTCCATAATTAGAATATTATCTTTATTTTTAATTGGCCCTCCATGCAAAGCTAGAGGCATATTGAAGAGACCTTTGTATTTGTGTTTAGGGTAGAAAAAAAGTTGTAACCTCTTTCGGCTTTAAATAATAACTGCGACTATAGTCAAACTACATCCATTATTCTCTATCCTTCTAAATAAACATACACATAAATGAAGCGTATGCCAAGGCTGTAAGAGACCTGTACAAAACCTATTAAGGGAAACAAATGTCTATTTGGACCATTCATTTGCTGCTATCTAAAGAATTAATATGTCAGTAAAGTTATCTGGCCTCCCTCCTCCCCTTCTGTCTTTTCTCCCTAAACACACACACACACACACACACACACACACACACACACACACACGCACTCACAGGCCCCCCTGCCCTGGAGAGATGGCAACCCTGGAAACTTTTTTCTTTCTTTTTTTTTTTTTTAAACAGGAATTCCCTTTCTCTTAGATCATAGGTATTTAGGAAACAGTGAGAAAGACTAGCTTTAATTTCTTTTTTTCAATTTAATTTTATTTTCTGTATGCCGAGTGCTGCAATGCTTTGTCATGTCCCAACACTGCTTTCATCGTGCTTATATTCTGGGAACACACAGGTTTAATGCAATTTGTCCTAACTTTTCATTTCAACTATTGCTTTTCTCAAAGTGGCCACAGTTTAAAGACTGCAAAAGCAAAGGGAAAAGAAATATCACGGCAGGGGGAAAAACAAACCAACCCCCAAACTGGTGCTGGTATTCACTGCATTGACACATTCTCCAATGTTTTCTCTGTAGTTATAACACAAAAGCGCTTTCTTCCCTGTTTTGATGTGTTAAAGACGAAAGAGAGGACACTTCGAAGTGGCAAAATAAGTATTTAGAAAGCCCAGGGAAAGTATTTTTCCTCTGCAGGTTCAGCATATATTCATAATATGTAGACTTTCAATAGTTTAATAGTAATTAAATTTTTTAATTGGAAAAGGGATAAAAAATAAAATTTAAACGTGCTGTCTCACATTCCCCAAACTTTTAGCTATCAATGTGGCCTGCTTTCTGTGTAATCAGAAGTGTGTGCAGAGCCAATCATTCTACTGTGTCTGAAATAAAGAACAAGCATACTGAGTCCCTCTGAGAAGTGTAGCAGATCAATAACAAATTATTGTCTAATTCTGATATTGGACAGAAGAAGCTATAAATTCTTATTCCTTTGATATCAGTAACCGTAACTAATTTCCTTAGGCAATATTATTTGCAGATTGTTTTATTTAGGGAAACAAGGATTTGAAAGAGAAATAATGACCTGGTTCCTAAACAGTCTTCTACTCTAATGACCAAATTCTCAGAGTTGAAACCCAGAGTTCTTTAGGCTTGTGTTCTGTAGCTTGGATTTTTTTTTTTTTTTTTTTTTAAGAAACAAGATTTAGCGTGTAAGTCAAGCAATTTAAAAACTGATGAAAGTTACACTACTGTTCTTATTGATATCTAATTTATGTTTTAGTATTTGGTCGTAAGTCTTAGTCTACTTCGGAGAGAAAAAAAGTGTTTACTTAACCAGTTTCTATGCCAATCAAAATGAACATCCTCAAAATATGTTTGATGTAGCATTTTAAAATTGTGATTAGAAAAACAAGAAAGAAGATGAAGGGAAATTAAGGCCCTGTATCCTTCAGCTCTGTAATGTTACCTAAGGATATATTTAAACATACTGCTTATATTTTTTGTACTTAAAAGCTTCCCCCAAGAATATATTAAGCAATCTAGTCCATCTGATAATTTTCCCTCCATTCCTTGCCTCAAAAACTGAACCTGCTCTCTATGGAAAAAAAAAAAAAAAAAAAAAAAGCAGAGGCTTCTCTGATACTGTGGACCTTTCTGTGTTTCAGCAAAAAGTTAAGAACACAGAGTCCGAAATATCGAAAATTTTAGGTCCTAAGTTATTGTCGCTGTTCCTTTGTGAGGGCTGAGCAGATGGGTTTCTCATTACATTTGGGCTTTGTCCTCCCTTCTGTGTGTTTTCTTTATTTGTGTAAATTGGCCTTGTCTCTTCCTGCTAGAATGTTTAATCTGGGCACATTCTCCCTGATAGATTCGCATTCCTACTGTCCCAGCTTGTTTGGAGTTTGGATTGGAGGTGGTTTTCCTTACTTTAAAAGCTTTGTAATTCAGACTTAGAGAGCCAGTGCTTTTTCTGTCCATTTGGGCATACTCAAAGGTCACACCCAAGGTCATCTGCCATGTATGTAATCCTTCTGATGGGGAAATGATAAAATAGCACCCACAGGCATCTGAGAGTAGGGGTACGGCCTGGACACACACCTTGTCCTCCTCTTGGCCTGGTCTGCTCTGGAGAATGAATACGATCATCCCAAAGTTGATGCTTCGAAGTGACCAGTCAGACGCTAGCAGGTCAGCTGGCTGTCCCCTTGGACAGAGGGTCCATAAATCAGAGAGATGTTGGTGTGGTTGAAAGGGAAGGTGGTCCAGCCTGAGGGGAGCCCCGTAAATCTCTGGCAGAGCTTTGTTCCTGGTGGGGAGTGGGGGTGAGACTTGGGTAGCTTGGGGCTGTAGGCTGTTATTAATGCCCTGGCCCTCCTGCAGTGGGTGCTAACTTGTGCATGAGAGCTGCTGCCACCCTTCCCAAACATCGGGTGCTCGGAAAAGTCAAGCACGGCTGAGCCCTGATTTTCATTTAATAGCCAAAACCAAGATGCATTTGGGCTAGGATGATAGGACAGCTCCCTTGAAAAGATTATTTGAACTACAAAGGCATTCATTTAGGGCTAGCAATGTTGCAAAAGGGCCTGCTAGAAATTAGCAGCCTGTCCTGGTATTTGGAGAGCAAGAATGACAACTTATTGGAAGTTCTCAAGGAATCATTTATATTTCACACTCCACTAGGCAGCTGATTTGAGATTGTCTGTTAGCATAACAAAGGCTTTGAGCCTGTGAACTTCAGAAACCTTTCGACCTCTTAGCTGCTGGCATGAATAGCCCCCAGTCCTGCCTATAGAGAGCTCCCAAAGCTC